AGCCAGTGAGCTCCCAAAAGGCCTCGTGCTAGGTAGGGATGGGATATACATTTAAGGATCGCTCCCCTGGGCGATGTGGGATGTCACATTTATTTCACGTTTCATTCGTCAAGAATAATTTTTTCAATTAACGTGTTTGTAGTATAATTAATTCTACAATGAAGGATGAGAGTGGTTTTACGAGTTGAAGAAGATAAATAAACTTGGGATATACATGTGAAAAGTAATTTGGATTTTTTTTCAAACCTTATAAGATCAAAATTGTCATTACATATTAGGTATGTAAGTCGTTTGATATTAAAATTTAAAGAGGGGTGTATACAACATATTGTGGGGTGCTAATAAAAAAAGCCAATTTATTGTTTAGAATTTGTGAATTTTCTTATTTGGCTAACTTAAAAGAACAATAAATTTTAATACGGAATTTGTTATTTGTATACTTGTGACATCCCACATCGCCCAAGGGTGATCCTTATATGTATATTCCTATCCCTACCTAGCACGAGGCCTTTTGGGAGCTCACTGGCTTCGGGTTCCATAGGAACTCCGAAGTTAAGCGAGTAGCGCGCGAGAGCACTCCCAGGATGGGTGACCCATCGGGAAGTTCTCGTGTGAGTTCCCAGAAACAAAACCGTGAGGGCGTGGTCGGGGCCCAAAGCGGACAATATCGTGCTATGGTGGTAGAGCGGGCCCGGGAAGTGGTCCCACCCGGGCCGGGATGTGACATAAACGTTTCAGAAACTTTACATGAGGTAAGACTTCATATTTTCATTATTTTAGTGATTTCAATGATATCGGCATACATATAGCTGCGTTATGAATAATATCTATTAAAAACAAATATGATTGATGATGAGAATCACACACCTAATAAACCTTAGCCACATTAGATCACAAAGATCCCTTGATTTTAAAAGCAATGTAACAACCTAATCTCTTCTGCTAATTCAATGATTCAATAACTAAATCAATTCCCATGATGATTCCTCTTCTTCCTCCAATTCCTCATTATTAGTAAATAAATAATAAAACTTATGTTTCATTTGAAAAAAAAACGTAACGACTTTTGGTATGTTTAGATTTCAAATGTACTAAAATTTCAATTGTACCATAAACCAAATATGCTCATGTTATACATAACCATACTACGTACTGATATAAACAAGCAAACCTACAATTAAACGTACCTATATTATGCTTAGGTTTTTTTTTTTATTTTTTTTATTTTTTTTGAGAAAGAGTACGATATTCATTAAAGATGGAACAATACGTAGAAACAAGTAAGATAGGGTGAGCCTCGATAAAAACCTTGTCGGGATTTCAGCCCGCTCGAATGGAAAAAGAGCATCCCGTGCCAAAATTAATGTTGAATACTATCCTAAAAAAAAAAAATTAGAGATAACATCTGATGGTTTCTTCAAACCAATAAATTTGACTATCTAATGTTAATCCCAATCTTACCAACTGTGAGCTACCTTTTTTGTTTGCCGTCGACCAAACGTGACCTTCAGTTGCGAGAAAGACTTCAAATATGTCTAGCATCGTTTAGAATATGCCCAAAATTCCCCACTTAAGGCCGCTGCATCAGCTGCCTGGAGGGCATTAACTATCACCACTGCATCTCCTTGTAAGTTGTACCTCCATGGCCGAGCATGACACCTCCTGCGTAAAAAGGACAGCAGCTCCCGCCGCCATGGTTTCTGCCATTTGTGCAGATTTCACACCCCGCATACCGTGCAGCCATAGCTGCCACAAACACGCCCTGGTCATCACGGATCACAGCACCGATCTCCCCGAAGCCTTCGAGTTCATCCCTAGTTAATTTATTGAAATAATATTATAGTAAACAATAAAAAAAAATGCATTAAAATAAGAGTAAAACAGAAGGCCAAAGAAATAACGTGTAGTTAGACAAAAAGAAACGTGAAGAAATAGACTTCAAATAAAATAAAATTTTATCGCAAAAATTGTAGGGGAAAAAAAAAGTTTAATCAAATTTTAAAAAGGAGGATAAGTTATCAACCTCATTCTTTTAAATGTAGATAATATCGTTTGTGTAAAAAAAAAAGTGATATTAAACACAGGGCCGGCCTTGAGAATTTGGGAGCCTAGGTGAGTCTTTGAAGTGGCGCTCTAGAGTTCTCTAACTCCTGACCCTTTGTATATTGACAAGTGTAAAAAAAAAAAATCACTAAAAACATGAAAAGTCTATTTCTACATCAAATATCATTAAAAATTAATATATATATATATATATATATTCAAATATTACCCCTCACGTTTTTAGATGCAAAAGTTTACATAAGCTAATTTTTCAACCAACTCAAACCAAAAGAAAAGTCCCTACCCAATACGCCAAATTCCAATCATTTTTCTATTGTTACAATGTTACATATTACATTCAATAAATGAACGAATGGTTGGATTATAGAGATAACATCTTATAACTAGGAAAAATACTAGAATGAAGAGGATAGTAATTTTTGTATATGCGCCTAGGCGGACGAGGTGGATTTGAATAATTTTATTATATACTAGCATTTGCCTACACACTTTGTGTGTATGAACACAATTTTTTAGAAAATGAGAAGGAGAGAGGGAGGGAGAGAGAGAGAGAGAGAGAGAGAGAGAGAATGTTGGTGGAGTGGGAGGTTTTTGTCTTTAGAATTTTTTTATTTTTTATTTTAAATATTGGAGGTATTTTAACATCACCTGTAGGTGAGGCTTCAATAAAAAACATTAAAACTTGAACATGTGAAATTACATTATTGCCCTATATATATATTTTTTTTTGTGTGTGATGGAAAATTAATTTGTCTTTTCACCATTTTTTGGTTGACAAAGAGAGTTTTATTAATTAATAGAGAAGAGATTATATAAACTCATTAATTTGAACATTAAATAATGTCAATGTTCAAAAAGGTGAGAGTTTTAGCCTTTTAGGTACATAATAAAAATATATGTGGTGTGATATTAAAATAGAGTAATAAAACTCCATAAAAATAACCAAAAATGTGATATTTAAGATAGAAGCAAAAAAGTAATAATAAGATGGTGGGGACTATTTAAAAGGAAGAAGATGTGCAGCTATAAAAAAAAATATGGTGGAATCATCTTAAGTAAAGTCGTGCAATTAAAATGATGTTGGAAATATGGTTGTCGTCTTCCCCGCGAGAGGCTAACTCTGCAACAAATAATTTTTAAATTCCAACGTTTACATATAAGCCCACATAGTTCCTGCCCATCCTGGTCTAGACCTGCCTAGCTCCTCCTAAAAATTGGAGGCCCTTCCGAAGTGGGGGCCCTAGTCGTGCGCCTACTCCGGTTACCCTCGGGACCGGCTCTAACTAAACACACTCCATTATCTTATTTTTTCACTCATATTTTCATGAAAATATTAATGACATATTTATCCTTATATAAAAAGACTATTAGACCCTATTTAAAAATTCTAATGTTAACAAATTAAAAAACTGAAAGAAAAGACTTGTAGGTCGCTTTAATTGGTCCAATTGGATCTTCTCCACCGCGAAACCCCTTTGCAACCCTCTCTGGCTCATCTTCAATATCAACCCAAGGTTTGAACAGGATTTTCGCCACCACTTTCCTCTCAAACAGCGAACTGAGCCACCCAAAAAACGATGAACAAACGAAAGCAACAATGGCGACGGATCTAAAATTGAAAATCAAGTGGTCGCCGCGCGATTCTTCTAGCCTCAATTCAGTCGATGTTCTTGATCTTCGTCCCGGAGGAGTCTCAAGCTTCTTCGTGGCTTTTGTTATGGAGAACCCATTGCCCATTAGATTGCATGAGAGCCTAATGGCAGCGTGGTTGCGCTCAGCATGGGGGCAGAGGCAAAGGATAGCTGGGTTGAAGGAGGTGCAAGCCTGGGCATTTCAATTTTAGGGTTTTCATTAGTTTTTATTTTATTAATTGAACGGTCTAGAAAGTTTAGAGAGAAAGAGACATACATGTGTGTGTGTGTGTGTATATATATTAAAGAGGTTATTTTAGGAATAAGGGTGAATGGAAAAATAACATTTTAATTTTTTAATTTTTTACGGTAGGTGGAAAAATAAGACATTGTGATGGGTCTAGCATCATTCTGAAAAAAAAAGAAATAGGTGTTTAGTCTATAACATTCCAAAACAAGGTGTTTATATCAAAATACCTTTTTAAAATTCTTTAGTAATCATAAATTTTATCATTCAACACAAAACGTTGATGTTAATGCAGAATCAAATATGATTTTTTACTTGACTCCAGAGTTATTCTCAGTGCACTTTTCTTTGAGAGCGTCAGGTTTATCAACCAAGTAACTGGACACATTAACCTCTGATAGGGAATTGTGATGGACCGTTAGGAGAAATTTTTCCAATTATACACCGTTCAAGTTGGCAATTTACGTATCACAACACAAATGAAAGGATACGGAAAATATATTTTTTCTCTCCACTTGTATTAAGCACATAAAAGTACCAGCTTGTGTGGCTGGCAAACACAGTCAACTGACTAATGCTTAAAAGTTACCTTCCGAGTAATTGACTAATTTGACACCCATTAAGACGCAACTATTCCATTTTGCATATTTTTTTTTTTTAACAAACGGTATTATCTATACTAAAGGGGTGAGGATGAAGCTAAAAGCCTCATAATGAACTAACAATAATGTGATTCAAATTCCCCATTGACGAGAATCGAACCTAAGACATCTTACTTACAAGTGAAAAGAAATACTATAAGACCGTCGTACTAAGTGGCACATTTTCCACTTCTTAAATCTCTTTACTATTCCTTGTTTTGGAAAAAGAACCAAAATATGCCCCCTCTTTCTGCTGCTTCCTTTATTCCTTTTTCTCTATTTGGTTATTTACTGTGCAGGTTGGTGAATAATGCATATGATCACAGGTCAAATGCAACAGCGACCCCAGTTAAACGTAATCAAACGTTTCTTGCAGAGTAGGGAACCGAAAACTCATAGCAACTATAACATCCTAGATCAACAAATCTTCTCATCTTTATGCTCATCCACAATAACTCTGTATATATATTCTGAAACAATGTAATAAGTATTTGGAACTTTCAAAAGACGATACACTAACTGGTTAAGTTACACCACAGAAAAGGTTTGTGAACAAATATGAATTTCAATAAATAGCTTAGTCAAAAAATGAGAGCAAATGAGAACAAGAACACCAATTGTACAGCTAGTTGACCTGGTTGTATTGGCTATCTGAAATCGCTGCCAAACATCAACGAGTGAATGAAACTGACTGCCTCGTTCAAGATACGTTATCCTTGCTTTGAAGAAACCATCAGTACATAGAACAGTAGGCCACTAACATAGATTCCCTTTCTTAGTCTGTTAAGAAAAACCACCGCGCAGGAAGGTCAAAAGAATTGGTAGGAAGCATGTCCTGCAGCATCAATAGAACTCAGGTTCTATGGAATCAAATATCCATGATGTCCGTCAATCTCATATTCTCCCAAGAGGTGACTCATCAGCATGATCATCGACCAACCAGAGATCATAATCATGGAAGCGTTTTATCTTCTTCTCAAAACCCAGGATATAATTATTGTGAAGTATAACGTGCATCCCTTTAGTTTCCTGCACCCATGTCTTGTTCTTAAAGTACAGTCCTCCAGTTGGGAATGCTGCCTGCGGCAGCAGATAGAGATCCTCCTGCAGAAAATTAGTAACATAATCACTCAAAGGATCCAAAAAATTTGTGAAGGTATGATGCCATAAACATTTTTCACGCATCTGGGCCTATTATCATCGTACCTATATTAAGCACAACTTTCAAAGTGAAAATACCTCGTTAGCAAGTTTGTCTAATGCCCAGTTAAAAGCAGGCTGATCATTTGCTTTTTTTTCTCTGGACCATGGTTGGTCTTTAAGTTCCTCAATCCACTTCTTCGTAAGTAATTTTGCTCCACTGGTTGGACGCAGGAAAATCATGCAGCTGCAGATATAAGTGCGTCCTTTCTTTCCTGGAGGTGGCAGATCGTGAGAGTGGTTCAGAGGTTTGACCTGGTCACCAAAATCGAATAAACCCCTTGTAAATATAACGAAAGCAGTTATATCTGCAGCAATAGACTAGACTGCACAGTCAAAAAAGAATAATACTAAGAACTGCTGCAGCTACAACACCTTTATCCGTTATCCTTTAGTTTTTAGACATACAGCAGCAAACAGGCAACTATTTACTTATTTATCATAAGGTCTCCCTCCCCTCCTCCTTCCCATCTCTTTCTTATTGTGTGTGCCAAATGGTAGATAAAGGAAGCAGCAGTTCAATCATTGTGTAATTGTGCACAGCATCTGGTCTAATCGAGATATTGAAGACTGCTTTCTCCGGAGTAGATTGATATGGTGTGCTTAATGATCTAAGGATATGATTATTAATGACGACTTAAGTAGTAGTTTGGTGGCCACTTTATGTACTGAATTGGTATCAAAAGATATCGCCATATATCCACTTAATACACCAAAGAGTGCACACAATTCAAAGTTTCCTTATAGCAAAAGGAAAAACTAACGAAAGTTTGTGTGTATGTTTTACTCATAATCATGCTTGTGCAGAGCACATCTCCCGGTGGCTGATGGACATGAAATTTAGGACAACACATGCTTAGAATCCCGTTTACAATTTAAGCACATGTCAATAGCTAAATCAAAACTAGTGTACTTACTGGAGTCATGTCATCTGTGAAGTACACGTCATGGTTTCCTTCGAAATAGGGAAACGGATCAGCCAACCACACCATATCAACATCATTGTACATAACATTGTATCCAAGTTCCAAAATCTGCAACAGGTGTCGCGGCCTTTGGGAAGTAAAGTTGAAGAATCCCTACACTAGGAAACCAATCAAAATCACTTTTGAAAGGCAATAAGTCAACAATCCATCAAGGCAAAGGGTTCCAATCATCATATTCAGGCTCAAAGAGACATAAACACCCAGAAAACCAATAGAATCCAAAGAACAAAAGGATAAAGAGTTTGAATGGGGAAACATTATGCTGGAGCAAATACGTACCCGACAAGTTGAATTCTATATCAGTTTTTTAGTTGTCGGAACTTGAGCAGATGGTGTCCAAAAATTAATATTCAAGTGATCAGTGAAAATTTTCAAATGAAATTTCTCATTGAGCCAATGCTGTGACAATAAGGATTTATATTGCTTGTTTGAGATCTTCCGTACATAGTTGTTACGCTTAAAACTAACCATCCATTTTATATGACGAATATGAAGTCGCGTCCTAAAGAATTCGGGTCATCACCTCTTACAAGTGCACGCATTTTTACTTCCAGTCAACCCTAAAAACTTACACAAATCAGTAGCGAATTAAACCCCGAAAACAGAGCCTAAACTACAGAAACATAAGCATCACAACATCTAACTATCCCAAATATAATTTCAAACTCCACATATAATATGAAAGAATCAGCAATTATACCTGAGAACCAAACTTATGGGCAGTCTGAGCATCCGGCGCAGGCGGCACAAGCACGGCGTGGCCCGGCCACCACTCATTCACCTTATAAAGCGTGGCATAGTCTTCGGCAATCACAAGCACCTTGTCCTGGTGCTTTTGCCTGGCAATGCTGATCAACCAGTTGTTCAAAAACGGCAAGTACGGCTGACTGACGGCGCAAACAATCACCGTCCCGTTTCGGGCCACGAACGACGCCGCCTGAGCCAGCGTGTAGTCCCGCCACTTGGCGATGGACGGCCTGGTGGTGACCGAGAACAGGCTCTCCCGCATTCCCACCCAGGGGAAGAAGACGCCCATCACCACCATGAGCGAGAGGAGGACCAGGAGGGTAGTGGGGCTGAAGATCGAATATGGTTTGTGGATTGGTCTTTGGTACAAGAAGGAGGACATTGTTCCAGAGAAATCTAACGTAAAGATTCAAACCTTGAATGGATTTTTCAGTTTGGAATCGAAAATAGAGCTCAGATTTTGAAATGATCGAAATTGAATGCGAGGATGTGGAATAAGAAGGGTCCCACCGTGGTGGTGATCAGACTGTTTTCTCAATCGGACAAGCAGATCAGGATTCAGGAGTTTGCGTTGTTGTCGTTTCGGATTTTTTTTTATATTTTTTAACATCGATATTATTCCACTAAGAAAGAACGGTAAACTTAGCCTCACACGTCGTTTTGGATTTAGAGGTGCGGATCTCTCGTTTTGTGAATGTGATTACAAATAATTGCACCTAGGAGTCCGACTACAATGCTACATCACGTTCAGTGGGTTCAATGCAAAATCTAACCGTTGGAAAGATCCATTAAAACATTATACGCAAGACCTAACAGTTGATTTTTCAAACTACTACAATTTTCCTTATTACCAAAAATGATTAGTAGTGCTTGTGGGTGCCTGAAAGCCGATAATTCAGAAGATGTATCGACATTGAAATTCAGCGACATACCAGAAACTGAATTATTCATCAGGTGCAACATTGTACAGCTACATATTTCCCCGACCACTTCATTACAGGACTTCTGTGCACAATTTGCTCGTTGTTAAGCAGCCCGGGGAAAGACTTCGAGCGGGAAAAAAGAATTTGATTTCAAGCAGTTGATAAACTAAGGGCGAAGGGAAAAGCTTGAAATCAAAATGCAAAGGAGGGATTTACAGTCATATTGACCCACATACTGTGGGTGTACCGATATTGGCATCCTTGACTTGTTATAATGAGGCCTCACGAGACACATCCAGCCTTCAGCTTATTCGATTTCTGTTTGGCAAAGAACGCCGATAGCACGCTTTTGCTGCGAACAGGGACGCGCACTATCTCCCGTCTTGGATTTTCAAATGACCTGAATGCCGTCATTGGTCTGGAACCATCTACCGCTTCCTGCAAGGAAAATAACTTCTCATCAGCTCTCAAAATTTCCATCTTCTGTAATACGGAGATCAGAACTTGGAGGACAACATCACTCTACCTTGTGTCCAGCACCTGACGTTTGCTTAACCCCACCAGAAGCAGGAAATCCACTTGGTTGCTGAAGCTGCGTTGCCGAGGATTTAGGGGTACTCCTTTCATTTTCTGCATTCATATTAGTCAAAGCATAAGGAACTAGCGTTTCTCTAGCAAAGCATCTATTCACACAGCTAGGTGATATGATGATGTAACTTCCCAATTCTACTTACCTACAAGCTGGAAAACACCAGCAGTGTTTACAGAAATTTTTGTGTCTCCAGTGCTGCACAAAGGAAAATAAATGTTTCAGGTTTCTTAGAAGTATCAGGCGCAATAGATACACCAACAAAGACAAATTTTTTGCCAAGCATAGTGAAACCATATGCAAGATTCTTGTTTCTCTTAGGAATTACCTAGTCCGGACCTGTGGAGTCCCCTTCAAGGTTGACTTTGTTTCTGAAGCTAAATGCCAAGAAAGAGTTTTTGATGCAGCAGCGCCTAAACGTTACACATTGTTGAAACACCAAACTCATTACTTGTCCAATGTTAAAATCAAGGAAAGCTTACTCGCCCAGTGAAAACTGGACTTAGAAGGTTAGAAGTAAGCATCCAAAGGAAAGTGACATACTTGAAGGCTGAAGATGTGCTCTTGTTTGATAAGGATGTTGCCTAGTGTCAGTCTGAACATGTGGACTAAAATGTACCTTCTTATTGACAGAATCTAGCAAGAAGAGAAATGGAAATAAATGTAAAAATCTCATCACAAACAGGGCAACTCTAACAAGAAGTTGACAGTACTTGGGCTTACTTGGTAAAATGTAGTGCTTGTGATGTCTCGGGATGAATGCCAACAACTGCTGCTGCCTCGACCCTTCTTTATCCATGTATGTTTTGCATGTAAGAAGTTTCTAGAATAAGAAATGAAGTTTGTTAAGCCCTTCCAGTTAGGTATTCATGTTGACACCCCCGAACTTGGATGATAATCTTTTCGTAAGATATATCTATTGATACCCTTTCTATTCTAACATAAAGAAATTGGAAACCTCACCTGATTTAGGCAAGTAACTTTCAGATCCATGGTTGAGACATCTGAGGTTTGCTGATCAAGAAGGTCAGTTAACTTGTAAGCCACAGTGCCAAGGTGATCAACGGCATTTACAAGGGCACGTACAGCATAATCTTTCAGGTTATCCAATACCCTGATGCATAATTTTATAATCAATGTCAGAGAGAAATGGAGCAAAGAAAATCCCGGTAGAACCGAGAATCAGACAAGTGATGGTAAAAGCATCCAGATATGTATGACATGCTGGAGCATCACACCCATTCTCCGAAACTTGCACATGCAATTTTATACAGCATTATTACCAGCATTTCCTCCAAACGATTAAAACAAAGATCCTTACATTTGTTTCTGCTCACTATGAAGATAGGACTTTTCGCAGTATTCCGCAGCAGAATAAAGCTGAGGCCTCAAGTTCTTGAGTTCCTGAGATAAACATAGCAAACAGGCTAAATGCCCATTTTTCTCTTCAATCCGCATAACCGTATCATTCAAACGAGGTTCTTAACACAAACACTAGGAAGTAGGAACAAGAAAAGGCTTCACGCTACATATAAATACACAATATTCTTAAAAAATAATGCAAACATACCATGTTTTTTAACCATCTAGCACTCTTCAATCATTTCTAACATACCTGAAACCTAACCACGATTTCCAGCTAATGCATACGATTTCAATCATTAGCAGTACAAAAGAGCATTGCCAATGCAACAGTAAGTAGCTACCATAAAGAAGCTCAACAGCCTTAACTAATGCTTGGCATTAACAGCCAAAAATTCATTGCTAATCATTATTCTCGAAACCATAAACACCCAACGGATTCAACTCTCAAGCTAAATTATGCAGACAATAACACGATTCGGGATCTTAAAACTCTCATTAAACAGGACCCCACAAATTCAATCAATTCGTAAATCCAATCAACCAATTTATAAGATGCACCAAAAACAACAAACCAATCAATCAAAAACGAAATCAACATCAGATCCAATCCCAAAATTTCTCTCTCTCTCTCTCTCTCTCTCAGATGCAACGACTATCGAACCTGCAGGGCCTTGACGAAGCTCTTGCTGCGCTCCATGGAGAGCTCGTCGAAGGTCATGGCGGGGCGGTGCTGCTCCAGCTCCATTTCAAACAGAACCAATTTCCGGCGAAAAATAACTGCAAATTCCAGGAAGGCGATGCAATCAAATATGTAATTACAGCGGTGGGGTTAGATTTGGGGGTTAGGTTTTGGTGGGAGTGAGAGGGAGAGAGTGAGTGTGGGAGAAGCAACGCCGAGAGGTGGTGGTGGGTAATTGGTTTTTCTAATTTTTTGGATTAATTTAATTACTTTTTATTTGGAGTCGAATGGAAGGGAAAAGGACAGAGAATTTAGTGCACATGTAGGGGGGGCAGTTGGAAGGATGGTGGGGGTTCGGAAATTTAATTAACGGCAAGCGATTTGTCGTTTTCAGAAGGTGGGTTTGTTCGCTGTGAACAGCATATGATCCTTTTTTTTCTTTGACTAAACTGCAAATTTCTTTTTTGAACTTTTACTTAATTTTTTGTTTCTCCTTATTTTTTAATTGGAAAATTAAGTACTCAAAACTTTCTTTTCTTTTTTTGTCGATTTTCCCCTCTTGTTAGTTTTTCATCTATTTCATTCAAATTTCTATTAAATGGAAGCATGTGCACAACATGTGAAGGTAATTCGGTCAATTCATTCTTTAAAATAATTGAAAACCTTATATTTTAAAAAAATAGGCCTATGCAAATTTATGCGATTCTATTGTTTTTGTGTCTGAAGTTCTAGCGAAGTGACACTTTTGTCATCAAATGAGTGTCACGTGGTGTAAACATGATAAGAGTTAACGTTAATTTAAATAGAATCTTGAAAAAATAATGGTAGGGGAAATCGGCCAACAAAATTAGTTTAAGTCTTCAATTTTTCAATTAAAAAGTTTAGGAAGAAATTGAAAGTTAAGTGAGAGTTTAGGAGAAAAATTGGCAGTTTACTCTTTTTTTCTTTTAGTTTATTTTTGAATTGTGGTAATATATCAATGAAACACCAAAAGGTAATTGATCAATCCATCGACATGAGTAGTAAAAAACAACAAAGTATATGAATAATGTATAATGCGTTGTCAATAGCAATTTAGGAATAAAAAGCAATAAATAATTTTAGGAATTATGTTGTAAACAAAATAAATAAATTGCATAAATAATTTTACGAATTATGTTGTAAACAATCGTGTATGTTTTTGCATTTGTTTAGGTTTTAGGATATGGTAATAAGAGTAGATTCGTTAAGGGACTTACAGAGCCTAGGGACTATAAAGGCTAGAAAATCGTAATCTGATTAGTGTGTGAACGACTGATTATAACACTTAAGTAACCATTATTAATTAGTTCTATAGTGAGCTACTTATGATAACCCATCATTGATCAAAAATTGTAACGGGAACAGGCCGCGGATTGCCTTTCCCTAGGATCCCAGTTCAAATCATTGAACCATCAGTCCTCCATCATTGTGTTTGCTAGATCCTCTCCATCAAGTGCTGTATTTTTTTCATAAAAAAAAAAAAAAAAACAAAAAGACTATAATCACTAAAACTCAAGTTTCTTTATATCAAACTCGACATAATCTTTTTATCTATATAAAACTCAAAATACCAAATTAGGTTCGAATCACGTGGATAGTGAATTCAATACCAAATTAGGCTACCCATTGTGTGGCATAGCCGAATTCTCCTTCCCCCTAATGTAAAAATATCAATGTACTTAAAAAAAAAATTAATAAAAAACCTAAAATACCCCTGATTACTTATTTGTTATCTACAATTCATTATATGGATATTATGTGAATTAATATGAGAGCTTTATATATAAAGACAAAAACTTTTATTATATTTCAATGAACTTCACTAGTCTTTAAACATGTCAATGAGAGATAAAAGCATAAAAACAATTAAAGTCTAACCCAAAAACATGAAAACAATATTTTAAAATACGAACTATACCCCTAAGATTTTAGGCTTTTAATAGAACCTAGCTTTCACAACTCCAATAAACGCAATGTGTCATAAGCTCAACCTATATTCGACTATTTCTACATAATCAGTTTTGAACTATATGTAGAATAAGTTTGTATCAATTATTACTATAATCAGTTCAATTAGTCCTTGACTATTTTTGCAGAATCAGTTCAACTCGTCTTCGACCATTTTTGCAAAATCAGTTCAACCTATTCTCGACCATTTGCAGAATTAGTACAACCCGTCTTTGACCATTTTTGTAGAATCAGTTTAACCC